CTGTTTCCTTTTCTTCTTCTGTGTTGTCTGGTTCTGCTCTGATTTCCAGTTTATTTTCCGAAAAATTTATGGTGATCTGTTTTTCCCTCAATTCATCAATTCCCGCTATCATATCATGATTTAAATCTTCAATCACCACACATTTCATAATATGGAATTTGTCTCCCACTCTGATCCGTACTCCCAAACCTTCGTTTACTGTCGTCAATTTTTTATTATTTGCACCCACTAAATCAATCCTAGGAATCTTACATACAAATCTGTCCAAATTTAATTCTTTTACTTGTTTTTTATTGATTAGCGATATCTCCGATCCAGAATCAATCACAATTTTAATCGCTTTATGTTTTATGAATGCATCTAAAGATATTAGATTAGAATTAGAAATTTGTCTTTCGTTTTCTATTGCTACATGATTCATTTCCCTTCTATTTTGTTGTTGGTAGCTCTGGTTATTTCTAACGTCCCTTTGTTCGCTCGTATTCCTATTTGGAGGATTTTGTGCATCTCTATTCCTGTTATGATTTTCATATGTTCTATTTTGTGTGTCATTCCTGTTATCGTAATTTTGTTGTCTATTGTAATTATTGTAACTTCTCGGCCTATATTCGTTTGTTGATCTGGGATGTCGGTGTCTCTGGTCATAATTTGATGGATACCTTCTTTCAGGTCCATTATATTGGTCATGTTGTCTTCTATTTCTCATTTCTCTTCTTTTCGCTTCTTTTAATTTGAAGGAATTGGCACAAACTATCAATATCTTGATAGTTTCTCAAAATCACGTGATCTTCCAAAGTTTCCTCAAAATGTCTGCTGATCATTTTTACCAGCTGTTCGGTAGAATATTTGTATTCCAGATATTTTGAATTGTTATATATCTGCAAAGCATATCTTTCTTCAGATATTCCCATTTTTTCGTGATATTTTCCATTCTGTAGCTCTTGATTGATTTCTCTCTGTTTATTTTTACCCCAGAAATAGTTGAGAAATTTATTTTCAAAATCTGTCCAATTTTCAAACTCATCTTCCTTGCTTTCATACCATAACGCTGCGCCTTCTTTCAGATGGTTTCTAATTGTTTCTATGCAATCGTCAAAATATCTAACATGTTGCAATTTGGTTTTCAAATTTTTAACAAACGGTACTGGGTGTGTTTTTCTAATATCCCCGCCAAATTGTATTTTCGCCTCACTTGTTCCATGGACGATAACTTCTTTTCTCTCTATTCCTCTCAGTTCAATTTCTGCCATTTGCTTTTCATTTTGCTTAAGTTTCCTTTCCATTTCTTTCCTGTCTTCTTGTAACGCCATTTCAAATTTTTCTTCTAACTTTTTCAATTCCTTTTTCTGGACAGTCTTAATATCTTTCATTTTAGTTTCTATTTCTTCTCTCTGCATCTCTAGTTTCTTCTCTAACTTTTTCTAAACAGACTTTTACATCATTTTCATATTTGTCCAAACGCTTTTCCATTTTTCTATCATTTTCTTCTAATTTCTGATCATAGTTTTCCAAACACTGCCTTATCTTCCTGTTATTTAGTTCTATTGCTTGTCTTGTTTCCCGTTGGTTTTCTTCCATTTTCTTTGCTGTTTCATTCATTGTTTGTTTTGTTTCCCTTTGATTCTCTTGTATGGACTGTTTTGTTTCCCCCCTTGTTTCTTTTCTTTCCTCTATTATTGTAACACTTCCCTCATTATCTGATCCTTCTTCGACAATTGTTTCCTCTTCTCTGTTATCCTCCTTCCTTTCTTGCATTTTGCTTTGACTCCTTGTGGTCGACATGTTTCTTTTCGTTAATGTTTTTGTCCCCGCCAAATGTGAAATACGATTGTTAAAGAAAATAAAATCAAATAATTCAATATCAGTAAATATCAATTAACTAAGATTAATCAATAAATCAAATTTTTATCCACTGAAAATAATTGTCAAAATACTTTCAAATTCAAATTCCCTCAATGTTCTTCTTCTTCTTCAAGTGCCGTCTTCGTTCCGAAGTTTGGCTATCATCAAAGCTATGCGTATTTTTGATGCTGCAGATCTAAACAGTTGGTAATTGGTACAATTGTACCATTCTCACAAGTTTTTCAACCATGAATGCCTTCTTCTTCCTATAGATCTCTTTCCCATTATCTTTCCCTGTATAATCAATTGCAGCAACTGGTATTTATCTCCCCTCATAACATGTCCCAAATATTGTAGTTTGCGCTTTTTAACAGTAAGTATCAGCTCTTTCTCTTTCCGCACTCTCCGCAAAACCTCCACATTTGTTACTTTCTCTGTCCAGGGTATTCTTAATATTCTACGATACATCCACAACTCAAATGCTTCTATCTTTTTGGTATCAATCTTTTTCAATGTCCATGTTTCCATCCCGTAGAGGAGAACTGATATAACGTAACATCTCAAAAGGCGAATTTTAAGTTTTAGACTTAGATCTCTTCCGCAGAACACCTTTTTCAATTTAGTAAATGTGGCTCTAGCTTTCTCTATTCTGGTTCTGATTTCTTCAGAGCAATCATTATTTTCGTTGATAACAGTTCCCAGGTAATTATATCTTCTTACACGTTCGATTCTTTGATCATGCACGGTTATGTCAGGGAAGTTTTGTGGTGATTTAGATATTAGCATTATTTTTGTTTTGCTAATGTTAAGTGATAATCCGTGTTCTTCACTGCATTCTACTATTTTGTTAATTAGTATTTGAAGATCTTCCCAAGTTTCTGCGATTAGTACCGTGTCATCGGCATATCTCAAGTTGTTTATTCGGATGTCATTTATCTTAATACCTATATTTTGATCCGAAAGTGCTGTGTTTATAATGTCTTCGGAGTATAGATTGAATAAGGTCGGTGAGAGTATACAACCCTGTCTTACGCCTTTCTTGATCTCGATTTCCTCCGTTGTCTCTTGCTCTATTCGGATATTTGCTTTCTGGTTATAGTAAATCTTAGAGATAATTCTAATGTCCCTTTTATCCAAGTTTTTTTCTACTAGCAGTTTCATTAAGTGATCGTGACGAACTTTATCAAACGCTTTGTTGTAATCAATAAAGCACATATATATATATATAATATATATATATATATATATATATATATATATATATATTATATATATATATCTATCTTGGTTTATATCTAGACATCTTTGGCATATGACGTTAAGTGCAAATAGTGCTTCTCTTGTTCCAAGCCCGTTCCGAAATCCGAATTGAGTATTACTAATATCTGCATCTAGTTTTCTGTTAATTCTTGAGTGGATTACTTTGATGAATACTTTTAATGTTATATGTTTTTATCTCTGGATCACCTGGACTTATTCCAGATCTCTTTCCCTTCCTTCAAATGTAAAGCTGAGATATTTTCAAGCCACACGTTTTGGAAGCCAGTTATTGTGATATTTAAAGTCTTAGTGCGCCAATCAATTAATTAGCTAATTAATTAATTGATTAATTAAAATTATTTAAATGATATGACTTTGATTCTATCACACTTTTAAATTCTCTTATCTCAGGGTTCTATTCGTGCTTCAATATCTATGCTATTACATGTGAAAGGTAAAGGTCCAAAGAATACCGGAATAATAAAAAAACATATAGGATCTAACATTATATATTGAAATAAAATAATGAAATAAAATTCACACTCAAAAATTTTCAATAAACAAAATCTCATATAATGATTCTCAAAATTTTGTTCTATGTACGTGAACCTTCAAAATTAATGGTACAAACAATATTAGTTGAAATCTCAAAATCCCAAATATTATTCTAAATCTCCTAATCAAAATATTTATATCCTTTCTAAATTAAGTGTAAAAATTGTGCTATCAATAAAAGAAAAACTGCAGAAAACAAAATATCTCTCCCTGATGATGAGTGGTCCAAATCCTTGTTCCTTGTAGACTATATTATCTACTCTCAGGCGCTCCCTAGGTAATCAGTAATCTTACAACAAATTATTGCAAGTTTATCGTCCTTAATGATCTCCTTCAAATGCACGAATCGTTCAAATTATGCTAGCTTCTTCTTCTCTCAATAAACTGAATCTCTCGTTGGCCTGAGTGAAAATGAATCTTGGAATATCTTTTCTTTACGATAAACTGAATCTCTCGTTGGCCTGAACAGTGACTCTTGGAATATAAGTAGAAAAATATAACTTACAATCTTTTACTGGATCAGCTTCTATCAGATACACTAACTAAACGAAAACTCACAAACTTTCACTGCTACTGCTTCCTACCTCTGGGAAACTACCCGAGAACAACGGCCGTTCGCCTTGCACCCTTGGAAACCAACTGACTATCTTTTTCTTTTCTTTCTCTAAAGTCTTATTCTTAAACCAATCATCCCACCTTTTTCAATCTCATCCAATGAAAACGCTTCATACATCTCCCATTTCTTCATTTCGATAACACACAAATTTTTACCTACAATTATAAAATTTCCTAAAACTATTTTACAAAATAATCTTTTCCTACCAATTCCTAAGAACTAACAAAAACATATCTTTCTAAAATCTATTCTATTGTCCTAATCACTGCACTAATGTATTTGGAAAACCCGGTTCAATTGTCTTAAGTTCGCTCGCGTCACTCAAATATATTTTAACAAAGAAAATAATTTATGCATAGCTTACGTTTTGTTCAATATAGGTAATCCAAAGATAAAAGGACTTTCATTCTTTGAAATGTTTGTCGTTTATTATCCTACTTATCTGAATTATTTTAATTTTTTTTGGAACTTTGAAATATTTTAAGCAAACCAATATTTTTCTTGATTTTACATATCATAACAATATATATATATATATATATATATATATATATATATATATATATATATATAAAGTGCCTCCGAATGTTTTTCTCAGTAAGACCATTGTCAAATTTCAAAATATTATTTGCAAAAGTTATTTCATGTTGACTTCAATAAATGAGATACATCTTTCATATAAAAATTGTTGTCAGAGTCACAATTAATTTTAATAATATATGCATACCTTCAATACTATGTGGCATAGATTCCCCGGAGGTACTTGCTATTGCCTGTAATTCCTCTACAGCTGATGTCTCTAAAAAGAATAACATATATATATATATATATATATATATATATATATATATATATATATATATATATATATATATATATATCATATTAAAAGCATATTCAAATTATCTTGGTCAGCAGCATTGAATTGATCATTAAAATAGTTTTTTCATTTTAATTATTGTCATTCACATAATTTAATACCACCCTACATTCTTGTAGTAGTGATCTAGTCCTTCTATATAACAGCTAGACCCCATTTTAGACTCCACTCTCATTAGTCCATATTGTTAGATATTCATGAAGGGGTCAAACTTCAGAATCTTCAAATTTCAGTTATTAAAAGTGAGTCTATTTAGTTAAAAAAAAAAACAATTTAAAAACCTACCAGTTAAGCATATTGAAAATATAATTGGAAAAGCTATTAAAGATATAAATATCATAAGATCCTTTTGCAGAACTTGGTGTAGAGCAGACCCATCCACTCTTCTTCAAGCATATTACAGCCTAGTAAAACTCATCTAGATTTTTAAAGTAGCTTAAAAAAATCAGCATATAAATTATTAAAAAGTTAGACCCAGACCAATTTCAAGCATTAAGCGTAGGAAGAGGCTGCATGAAATCTACGCAGACAAATGCTATAGAAGTCAAAACCGATGAATGATTTCTAAAGTTTAGATACAGACAGTTAGGTATCTACCAAATGCATGACCAAAATTTATAATTTAACATAAATATCCAACAATTAATCTCAAAACTATATGCATACCTTCAATACTATACATCATAGATTCCGCAGAGGTACTTGCTACTGCCTGCAATTCCTCTACAACTGATGTCCCTAGAAAGAATGAAAGAATAACATATGTATCATATTAAGTAAAATATATTAAAATCATATTGAAATTATATTGATCAGAAGCATTGAATTGATCATAAAGGATTTTTTCAGTTCAATTCTTCTCATTCACATAATTTAATACCAGATAATGTGACCCTACTAAAAAAACAACCTATCCAGACAAATGCTCTATTAGCCAAAATAGATAAATTATTACTAGAGTTTAGATTTAGATGGTTATCTACCAAGTTCATGACCAAAATTTACAATTTCCCACAAATATCCATTAATTAGTTTTAAAAATATATGCATACCTTCAATTCTATATGTCAATGATTCTGGAGTACTCGCAAATCTTTGTAACTTCTCCACAGGTGTGCCTACAAAATTACAAAAATTAGTTCTCTTATTATTAACCTGAAAGAAAGAACATACCTTGAACTGGAATGTTTAATCTCACAAGATGAATAGATGGTTTTGCGTTTTTTTTCAACCTGCTTTTTAGCATTCCTGCAAAGGCCGGTTCCTCAAAATGTAAACTACATATTCTAAAGTGCTCATAACAGTATTGAGCACTGTACATGGCAAGTTTCTCACATTGAACGATTTTCTTCCATTCTGCAAACCTGAAAATACAACACCGACGATGATGTCAATGATAATAAATAGAGAATTTAGTTCTTACCGATTTTCATCCTTGGGAAACCTGAAGAAACTCAAGTTCAAGTTGTTATGGTCCCTGGAATTTTTTCTACATACACAGCAATAATGAACTTTTGATTTGGATGAATTCATCATAATCCGTTGTTTAAAATAATAAAACCACTTAGAAAACTGGAGAAATATCACAGTAATATGTATTAAATACGAAATAAACAAAACCAAATAGGTAAAGAAATAATAATAAGACTTACTCACAATCAATTTAATTTAACAATCAGACGACCGGTTTCGCTTTCTACAATTTGCAAAGCATCTTCAGGTCTAGATACAAAGTTAAACTAATATTAATAGAGTACCGGCATCATTAGTTTAACTTTGTATCTAGACCTGAAGATGCTTTGCAAATTGTAGAAAGCGAAACCGGTCGTCTGATTGTTAAATTAAATTGATTGTGAGTAAGTCTTATTATTATTTCTTTACCTATTTGATATGGACTCACACAAGCAACACATTCATGATTTTTATAAAACCAACTATATAACAACAAATAAATGAAATTTATATATAAATTACTGAAATAACTGTAGTTTCACAGCCATTTCACAGCATAAACTGGCATAAACACAAACACGTGGTTGGGTAAAATCAATGTTGCCAAATGTAATCAATCAATGGATAGATACTTATGATTAATTATTTGAGAATAGATTAAGTCAATTAGGCAATATGATTTTTCAAACTTTAGAAGTGTGTATAGTGGGTATGTGAAGAATTTTACCATTTATAAAATTTATTTTCCTCTTTTTGAAGAACTTCTATAATAATTATTTTATTATAAATTTGGAATAATCTTTGAAACTGATAGAATATTTTAAATCTTGCAACAGCGGCATTTTTCGCCAAATCCTTTGCGCACGGTGTGGCTTGGTCCTAGGAGTGGATTCCAAATTGGAACCGTGAAAATGCGAGAGTATTCTGTGACTATACTGTGCTTATAGCGTCTATATTCTTTGACTATACTGTGGTGTGACAAATCACAAGTCACAACTCACAAGTGTCACTGTCACAATCACAACCACAACATTATGTATTAGACTATTTACCACTTTCTTGTTTTGCAGTTTGATTTGTTGTTAAATAATATGCCTAAATAATAATAAAAATGTCTGAGGATATGTCAAATTCTAAAGAACAAATAATATTCAAACCTAAAATTCGCAAACAATTTAGAAAACGTCTTAAACAGGAAGACAGTGATGAAGATGAGACTGAAGTTATAGCAAAACTACAAGAAATGAAAGAAGTTCAGAAACTTAGAGAAAGACCTAACGGTGTTAGTTTAGTGGGTTTAGCGTTGGGAACAAAAGTACTAACAGACACAGAAATCAAAGATCCTTTTAATAAAAACATTGGTGGTTTAGTTAACTTACAGGCCCTAAATAGTGGCAATTGGAAAGTAGATGACGCCTATGATACTGGAATAGGAACACAGTTTTCTGTTGAAACTAATAAACGGGATGAAGATGAAGAAATGATGAAATTTATAGAAGTTGAACTCTCAAAAAGAAAAGGTAAGTATATTTTAAGTTAAATTTTATAATTAAATTACAACTTTCATTGCACATCCTCAATTACAAATGTATATCACAATTCAAGTAGAAGTTTAGGGCATTACGCATAAACGGGCACTCTAACCTAACCAAATATATTTTCCTCAAGGCACTGCGTCACAGTGGTGCCGTATTAATTTTAGTAAAATATGTATATTATATATTGTATATATTAATTCAAAAATAGGGAAAGCCCTGATATATACAAAAATAATCAATTTAACATTAATATACATAATAAGACAAAAATAACAATGAGGCTTTAATATAGTATAGTTGCCTCGTATTTTGGTGAGACTGTGTAAGAATATATTTATCTGTAATAAAAGCAGGCAATAAAAATTACAATAAAAGTACTCTACCAGGAGTAGTTATTAACTGAGCAAAAAGATAAAAGAGGGAATGTAAAGGTAGTGGGGACAAAAATATTGTTAGACAGGAAGTGCTATCTTGAGAGGCCACTTTAAACAAGGAAAGACAGTCTCTTTCCTTGTTTAAAAGTCAAATTTAGTTTGGTTATGTTATTGTTTGTCCCAACTGTCACATGAAATTTTATTTATATTGAAGTTTTTTTACCAATTATGTCACTTTGTAGACTATTATCGTTAATATTTAATTAAAACTTTCTTGTCTGAAAAATATTTTACAGGTATTGTTAACAAGTGTTGGAAAATTTAAATTTAGCGCCTTTGCATTTCCGGATATGTCCGCCATCAGAGGCCACTTTTTTGGTCTCCTTTTCATAAGGATTAGATTCCCTCTTTTATCTTTTTGCTCGATGATTATAATACAAAGTTTTAATATTCCCATCGATATTTACATTCAGATGAGATAACAATATTTGCCTGAGCGACCAAAACCATAAAGTAGTTTATCCAAATAAATTTCGTTTCGACACTCCAGTGGTTTACACTTGGGTAGGTAGGAATAATATTTTACTTTATTTTAAACTTTATTTTTAAACAAAATATTGTTTATTTGGATGAAACCTGGTATGGTACTCATTACACCGTGAAAAAAAGTTGTAAGACTAATAACAAAAAGTGTTCTAATTAAGTACTGCCCAATAAAGAACAGAATTATAATTTTACACTGCGATGTAGAAAATGGATGCATCGACGATGTATTATTAATATCTGCAAAAAAAAATTAAAGACGTGAATCTAGATTATCATGAGGATATGGAGGGTTCAAGTATAAAAAAGTTCAACTCAGGAACCATATATGTAAACGTTCAATGTTTTTTTTGAAAAAAGAACAAGTTAGTTTTTATAAAACTCACAAAGAAAGGAAGTACTTAAAAATATGTAAATGAACAGTAAACTTTATAATTTTACGAAGATACTTTAAACATGTGGCACCCGTGGTGTGATAATAATATTCTGCAGCTGAAAAGCCAGTGGAACCCTCTAATCAATTGGAATATTTACAAAGCTGTGTAGTAAAATGTAAGTGACATTTTCAATATCTCCCTGATAATCCCAAACATATGCTGAAACATGTTTATGAAGGATTGTTTTCTAAATTGTCTAAATAAGAAACAATCGTAGAAACATGTTTATCAGAGTGTCGAAAGCAACCTGCTACAAGACTATAGGAGCAACATCTTCTAGACAGATGAGAAAGGATTGTGCAAATTAACACAAATAGAACCGCACCTAAAGCTACATATAATCAGAACAATATATAAAATGGAAGTGGCTAATATTTTTCCAACTACTGAAAGCCTTCGAAGTGAACTTGTTCGAAAAGATATTCTCTCATATTCAGCAGCAACACTTTGATGATTTCTTAAAACCCATAATTTTAAGTAAAAAACTATAGAAAAGCACCAAACACTAATGGAAAGTACTAAAACAATTATTTCTTAAAGAGATATTTCTATCATATAGATAACTGAGTATCAAAAAATGAAACTAAATCTTGTTTATTTAGATGAGACTTGGTGTGATACTCATGACAGGACAGAGAATTATAATTTTACACTATGGTGGAGAAAATAGATAGATAGATTATGAATTATTAATATCTGCAAAAAAAGTAAAGATGCGTCTTTAGATTATCATGAGGATATGAAAAGTTTAATTTCTTATTAAGATTTTTGTAGAATCTCTTCTTCCGAGATTACCTAAATATAGTGTGATTATCATGGACAATGTATCATATTATTCAAGATTAACGAGAAAATTCCAAATAGTACTTGAAAGAAATTATAAATTCAAGAATTTTTATTTGAGAGAGATTTGTACTTTGAGGCATCATATAGTAAAAAGCAACTGTTGGAGATTGTTTATAGTAGATAGTACCAGAAGGTATATGTTGTTGATAACTGTGCTCGCAGTAATGTGCATACTGTGCTTGGACTTCCTCCTTACTATTGTAAATTGAACCCAATAGGGTTAATATGGACTTGAAGCAAATAGAAGAAGAAAAAATGTGGCTCCTAAATTTTTGTCTACTGCTTTCCAGTTAATTAGAAGAGAAGTCACAAAGATCACAGCAACCAACTGCAAAAATGTAATCAAACATGTAATCGCAGTGGAAAATGACTATTTTAAATATTTACCAGCAATAACCAAATTAACTATAAATTTAGAAGATACAACTGACACTAGTGATAACAGTGATTCTGAGTAGATTAGTAAGTTCTTATTTCCAACTAGGTGTTAGTTGAAACCTTTATTTTTATTGTAATTGTAGATATTCTCGTTTTGCTTATAAATCTTTAAAAATAGAGTACAAATACACTTCATGATAGAATAAAAACGCACAACATATCGTTAGGTTAAAATGACAGGGTTCCAACTAACAAAATCGCATATTTGAAGTTATTAGTGTGAAAAGGCTCCAACTGATCTTCCCTATCTTTTGATCTGACAACAGTGCTGGCGTACAACACAATTCTGACTCATTACAATGCCAAGGTTCCATCTGTGAACATAAATAAAACAAAACTAGAATGACATTCTACAAATCGAGGTGGCACATGAAACCTTGTCACTCAACCAATAATTAAGATTTGTAGTTGTGTTATTAAAACGTTTGTATTCTAAAATACTTTTACATAAAAAAAATTGTTTAATTGTATGTGATAATTACTTTTATTAACAATTTTTTACAGGTATTATTATTTTACAATAAGTTCTGTTTAGTGAGTCTATTAGTGTTATCACTCCCTAGATATATCACAGAAGTTAACAACATCAATATTTTTTATTTAAACTTTATAGAAAATGAAACTTTTTCTTAAATAAAATTAAATAAAAATAAAAACTTTTATTTAATTTAAAATTAGATATCTACGCTACTGCTCAATAAAGCAGTGACCAGTCTAACATTGTTGCCATTTTCTAGAATTTGGCTCGCTCTGGTTCCTATAAATTTTCTCATGAAATTATGTGTCGACTATACCTGCAGTTTTTAAAACATATAAAACAATATCCATATCAACTTGACTAAAAAAAAACTACCAAACCATTGGTGCTTGTAATATTGTTCATTAATTTGCTTTTAAACATTTGTAGAGATGAACAACTTTTAGCTGTTTAAGGAAGCTTATTAACTAGAAACAACAAAGAGTTTCTTGAAGCTGTCCTTTTTGTTTTCACAATGTGTAAATTGCAATTACCTCAAGTAGGGTAATTATTATAATTATCCTTGTCCAATTCAGACCTAAATTTACAAAGTGAAAGTTGCAGCACCGTCTTGTGGAAATACTTTTTATAAAAACTGGACCTATTATTTATTAAGATTTCATTTTTATCTATGTGATCAATGACTTGATCATATACTATCAACCCTAAGAATTTCTCAATGGGTGGAAGTAAATTAATATTGGGACCTGTTTTTTAATAAACTTGGAACTTTGATGATCTAGAAAGAGTATTTATAAAATTTAAGATAATACGACCACAAGTTACCAAAAACTTAGACCAGAGACAAAATACTCACCAAACTGGTGCACCATTCCAACTTTATTACTAAGAATGCATAACTGGTTTGTGCAATTGATCCATACAATACTGAAATTTTTGACAATTATTGTTTTTAGCATTTTCCACATTAACATGTCTCCAACAACATGTTGAAAACACATTTTCAACATATTAACTACCACATTTCTGGTCCTTTTAAAACCCTCCCATTTAACATTTCTTCCACTCATTATGTAGCAGTTAAACTCTATATTTTATATTATTAATATTATTATATATAATTTGTCCCTAATCTTAATTTTACTATTAATTTCATTATCAAACCATGGTATATTACCATAGATAAATAATTATAGTATATACAGGTATGTTACTTTTGATATGACATGTTTGAATAGGTGCTATTTTGTTTATGACAGACTGGCTGACAAAATTTCATTGTAAATAGTATTCACATCACTAGACTCTAAACCCCAATCACAATAAAGTAAATTCATTTGGATTTGATGTATTTTTTTCTTTTATAAGATATTAGTAACATTTACTAGAGACATTAAAATTTTGAGATTATTGAATGATATAATACACATAATCAATTAAGCTCTCACTACCATTCATAATTATAGTAGGTAGTAGGTACTAACTGCTTAAGGGGTTACATAGGTCTTGTATTTTCAAAAAATCGATTCATTTTTTTATTCCATATGAAAATATAGTACTTCAAGCATGATTTCTTAAGAACCAATTGACCAATTATACTGAAACTTTGCACAGTTTCAATGGAACTGATTGAAGTTGACTCATTAAAAATTTTGCTCAAATTTACTTCAAATTTTTCATAAATATTCTTGAAGTACTATACTTTCATAACCAATAAAAAAATCCATTTTTTAAAAATACAAAACCTATGTAACCCCTTAATGTCACATTTTAAAAATATTGCTTTAATTTTCTTGGTGTAGAAGCTAGTACTACAAAATCCAAATTAAAATTGCCAAGTAAAGTACAATTGACATTACTCTTAAA